TGATGGCGGTGCAGGAAACTTATTTTGTAGAGCGAGATTACGATGGATTCATAATCATAACCCAAATAACCAGGCTAAAAACGTGCAATGCAAACGAAAGATTGCGTCCGCAATGTAATATTACAGAATCTGAATTACAGGAGGTATTCTGCCGCTCGAATCCTTCCATCGGATAAGGAACCTAAACAAACCTAACCTCATTCATATTTTTCTTCGATATTTTTATACAGCCCCATCGCCCTATTGATCGGAAACTATTTGGAGGTGGTCAAAAGGTTACTCTAAGGTAAGTAAGACATCGGTCATCGCGAGAAAACGCCGATTGAGACAAGAATAGGTAATTCTTGTTTTACTGTCAAGTTTACCTATTATGTTTTTGAGAATGTACAGAGTGTTACAGTCGCTTTGAGTGACTAAGCTTGAATATTTTTTTAAATCCTTCGTTTATCAAAGTGTAATTCGACTACTAGACAATCAACTGTATACGAATGTATATGTTGGTGTTGGTATCAATTACGCAGGGCATGGGTGCGCAAACGCAGCTCTGGCCGAGCGAACGGCCAACGGTGGCGGGCAGGGCAGCACGCATGCAAATCGTTTATTGGCGCGACAATCAGATCGCGACCGACCGGTCAACCGTGGTCACCCGGTCGTTGACCCGGTTGGTGACACTGCTACACGGTATTGGAGCTATGCTTTGATGGATATAGTTGGGAAAGCTGTGTGGTGTGGGCTTAAAATATCACCCCAATTCTACCCATGGCTGTCGTAAAAACTAACTAAGGGATAATCTAGAGAATGGCAAGCATCGTTCCCTCTGAATGAAACATCTTGAAATGCGCTCGCCATTTCTCCTGCCAAGCGTGGTAAGTATTACAATGCCCTCTAAAGTGGAAGGCCCATGTCCAGCAGTGAACTGATGTGGATGTAGTAGTTGGGCAACCAAATATTTAGAGAACGGTGCAGTTGTTTATTGTGCGTGATAATGATAAGCCTGTTTTTATAGCATGTGTTTTGCAATGTGTCGTTAACCGTATACATTGTTGCAACATCCATTAAAATTCCAGGCCTTCGCCCAAAATTTCATTAAAGTCTTGCAAAGAGGAAGCATATTATCAAATATTAACGTTATGGCAAGTAGGCACTTACCCACTTACCATGTCGGAGCAAAATACAAAGTTTCACGATAAGAACATTTTCCGGGACTTGGTTCGTGAGGACTAAAGACCCTTGTTTTGGCAACTTTTATTTTATTATCAGACATGCTAGACGGCGATGCCGTGAAACTTTTCACTTTCTACCGTACCTCTCAATATCTAGCGAAATACAGCGGGTGAAACGTGGTGGAGGAAAATTTAAAGTAAACCGCAGAAACGTGAGCAACTGAATAAGGAATCTCGACTATGTTGATAAACAATAGCGAGATAAGATGAAGTACACGATACTTGAAGCTTGGAAATAGGCAGAAATTGTTTTGATATGGTTACATGTAGAGTCAATACACGAATAGATATGAGAGACACAATGACAAGTTGTTTGCTACGCAGTGTGGTCTTAATTTTAAAAATAAACGCTATTAACGGGAACGCCAGCTGCCCACTCGGAAAGGGTAATGAGCTTGGGCACCTGTTCTATTTTTTATCCACGTTTAATGCCATTTAAGTAATTTGAGTAGACCGGTGGCTTTAAGCTCTCAACACGGCCGGAAACATGCTCACTTAGATGAAATTGGGTCTTTGTTTTTTACTGTGTTATTCGCTTTAAGCGTTAATTTCCTGGACCTTGAGCTGTGTCCCCTCATGAAGAGGCCGTTCATCATCACGTTTCATCTCGCAAATAGCTGCGGACCCCATACGCGGGGACACCACCACAATGGATCGTTTCCGCAACATGACGTCTCTATATCCTGCGAAACCCAATACCTTTTGTTTCAAACCAGATTAAGGAACAACTTCAAGGTACTAACTAGATTATTCTCTTTAACTTTAGTACTCATTTTTCTTGGCCATCGGCAATGGTATGTATAACAGGCAAGTAATCCATAACAAATCCATTAAAAAGTTGCCTTATTCAGAGCGAGTGGTCCAATAAAAGCCCTACGTTTTCTCGTCAAGATCCGAGGTCGTGCTGTCGTTTGTCCGGGGTTTTTACCGGCCCTCGTCAAGTCAAACAAAGAGACGGGACAATGCTGAGAGAGTGGGCTTTGTATGTGTCGTGGAGGCACTTAACTTTGACAACGCTGGCGAACAACGACGCGAGCAGGTGGACATCATGTGAGGCTTCTCATGCTCCGCTGCCATATTAGCAAAATATTCTTCTTCTTTTCACGTGGAACACCGAGTCGTCTAACGACCCGATGAACTCTGGTATCAGAGTTTTTCAACTGCCTGCTAGTCCTTTGACATGGTTGGGTAACGACCGCCGCCTGAGTAATCAATTATAGACAGCAACCAAGACCGGTGGCATAACGTACCCTCCGAAGTACGGAAAATCAGGTGGTTCAGACTGCAATGTCCTAACCAGAATGAGACCAAATTCACTAAGTGATAAAATCAACTTCGTGAAGTGAACCGCCGGGAACCGAACCCGGAACCTTCTGCGACGCAGGGGCAGTCGCACCGCACTACTACTGCGCCACATCGCCTGTCGCAAATAATACTTGAACGAGATAAGGATACGTTTCATTTTTCCCACAGTTCCGGTGTATAACAGTGGAATATAAAACACTGACCCGCTAGTGTCGCGGTAAAGCGACCCGAGCACGTTAATGTTTTATTGGCTTGGCCTAATTGCCTCCCGCTGTGCGCATAACGTACGATATTCACAGAATTTAAGTTCAAAGTTTCCTGAATACTTCTTTTTCGTTTGAATAAAATATGCAAAATAAGGAACACGGCGGGGTTAAGTGATTCAAGAAATATTCCCAGGGTTTTTCCGTGCGGCTAATGATCGCACCGCAAAGGAGCGATCATAAATTCAATGTGTCGTCAGCAGGCGGTGAACGTAATCAAGTAGCGGGAACAAGCCGAAAGGACGAAGGCAGCAATTTCAATTTTCTGAGCGGACAGTCAGCTGCGCCCGGGTTGCCCGGAATTCATCTCCCGCCTTCGGGATGGGCGCCCGACGCGTTTTAATCACCTGCCTCAACTGTCTGGAGCAATAAAAACAAAATTCTGTAACCAATACTAATAACGGCAGTTACAAGCACGTTCCTCGAGTTGATAAATGCATTCCGTGAAGCGATGAAAATGAATAGTGACGCCGCGAATAACTGCAGCTGCTTCCATTTCAGGCGGTAATAGTCGAAGTAGCTGCAAAAACTAGTAAACCGTAACAGGTGGAATTACATCGAAGACCAGCGCCGCAGAAGGCGCGCGCGCTGATCCGGTTTTCTCGGTGGATCAGACGTCAGGTATGGAATACTTATAAGTGTGTGGTTGCGTTGCGAAACTGAGCGCATCGCGGCAACGGCATCGGTGACGCACGCGCGCCTCCTGCGGCCAATTTACTGAATTTATAGCATCTGCAAGGTCGGCAAAGGATAACGACCCGACCCGCAGCACCACGTTACGAAACAAGTGCTCGGTTTTCACGCGCCGCTTCATTCGACCGACTTCCTCATACCGCGCACTCGAGATAATCGTCCACGTAAGTTTATTTGATTGCGAGGGGATTTTTTTCACACTCGAGTGTTTAGGACTTATCCAATTAATCACGATGACGCCACAGCAAAACGACCTCGATAGTAAATTGAATTCACGGTAAAAAGTTTCCCATACAAGCTATAGATCAAGGTATAATATAACAGGTATGGCCGTGTGCAATTTAATGTAGGATTAATTGAATCGCTTTGAGCGTGTGCCGGTTCATTTTCACCGGTCGAACGGGCAGTGAAAAGGATTGCACAAAGTCATCGTCGCTAACAGAATATTTGGATGGAGTTTTGCGAAAAAGCTGAACCCAAATGAAACATTCTGTATACTTCTTTCAGGTAAATGCCTTTTTCGTGGATATATCACTAATCCAGTCAGTTGTTTTAGGAGGTGCTGGAGACAATGGAACTTGGTGTAGTTTTATGTAAAAGGAATGCAGATTGAGCACCTGACGTACTTGTCTAACAAAAAGTGGCTCCTGAAAAGACAGCGGTTGAAAGCACAAAATGTAAATGGAACTAGAAAATAAGCACTTCGCGAAAAGACTACTACCAAGTATTTTTTAAATACCCTAATAGTACCTACTATTGCTTTGTATTTGATTTTTGATGTAGTCAATGGAGTAACAATAAAAAGCACAAATAGGAATGCAAGCATGGTGGGTGTATCATGCAAGATCTTGCGACGCGTTGCCGTTTTTGTTGTCTGAAACATCAACTTAGACATGATACCTCGGAATTTTTATGTAGGTACGTGTACGTGTTGCAAGCGTCAAGCTTTTTATATTACCAATCAAACTCGCCATAAAATATATCGGTCATAAACGTTTGCGATACCTGCGCAAACGTGACCGGTGTCATTCAAGTGTGGAGTGGAGGATCGATGCCATTAGAGGACATTAGCGCTAACTCGATAACGAGCGAGCCGAGCAGAGGTGGATCCTGCTGGTAAACAGACGTACTCGTGCAATTGCACTACGTAGGTTATAAATTATGACGTAAACACTAATGTGAACGAATGCGTAGACAGACATATCCCTAAATATTCAAGTAGATCCGTGCTTCGTCAATATTTTCATCCACATACTGTTGACATCTACTTTGCAAATTTTCTTGAACCATCCATTTCTGAGCACAAAACTTTTGGTATACTATGGTCATTCGAATAGGCCATATTTGACAGATGTCAAAATCACGTTAACGCTATGACATAAGGTCTAGTTTTTCTGTTGACATGTCAAATAGTATGGGTTTGGCAGCTGTCAAATATGGCCTATTCGAATGACAGGTAGTATAGTTTGTCGCCTCTAGACATTAAGAGATTAAACGTTAGCATGGGTCCATCTGTACGTCGGTAGCTCAGTGGCAGAACAGTGGGACGGTTCTCCACGTACCCCGGGTTCGATTCCCGGTCGACGCTTGTAATTTTTTCAATTTCTTATTTTATTATAAATAAAATAAGATTGATTGAAGAACGCAAAGAATCTTTGCAACTCACAATCCAGTCGCCAAACAGTCTAATCTATTTGATTAAATCAGTTAAACGCAGCTGAATGACACTAACGGCGGTAATTCCATATAATTGGACAGTAATATTCAATTAAGTCGAAAACTCGTCAAGGCCTGGAATAACAGACCACGCTGGCATGGTAGTGGTGTAAGACACTGGTTCTTAAACTTAGAGCCTCGTAAATAAACCTCTACGAAAACGGGAGAAAACAGAATCGGGAATTCCATTCCACTTTTAGGTAAACCTGTCACCTGTTATTTGGCTACTCCCTATAATTAATTGCACAATAGGTATACGAATATTCAATAGTGTAGTTTACAAATATGCTGATTGGTGCAGATTGAGCACAGCACAACACTACCCCATTTATACCGGGGTATCGTTACAGGCGACTAAGTGACAAAAAACATTCGTCAAGCATGGTGACGGCAAGGAATATGTGATTGATGACGATGATGAAGAAATAGAAATACTATCCTGCTATTACCAGCTACCGTCCTCCAGTTTGAGAACCCGTGGCGTAAGTTATTAAGGAAGCCTCGGCGCTACGGCTGTAATGAGATTAACCGGCGTCGGCACGATGGACTGACGTCGAACTTAGGGATTACCACGAGTACATGTCGATCCAACTTTTGTCACCTATTTGTCGAAATTGTTACATCAGCGTTTACACCCTTAAACTACGGTAAGCCGAGAATCGGTGTATGGCCTCCTTTCTCCAACTTTTTGGGAAAGTGCTCAGGTTACATAGGTTTTCAGTAGACAAAGTTTCTAAGGAGAATATCATTTATTTGAATTTTTGTTGTTATACAATACCGACGATGTATCGTGTGCGTGTTCGAACTAAACATAAATTGTATATTAGATTAGACATAACAAGATTAATCATCTCGATCCTTACAACAACAAAGTAGTTGCAGACGGAATACCTCCGCAATTAGAATGGCAGTAAGGCAGACAAGTTATTCTTGTCGCCAGATCGCAGACCGGTAGTAGAACTCTAGAATGCTAAAGGCCATCCGGCGACACAACTATCTGCCACATCTACTAGTTGTAGTACTAGCGAGTAATCTTGTTTATAACGTAGATGCTCTTTCTCTCTCTCTTCGAGGATAGGAATGAAGGAGACATGTGGTGAACCGCAATTTGATTCAGACCGGTTTCTTTAACTAGTTTTTTTCGTCAGTGTAAGTTAGGAGGAATGTTGCTAATCATGAGAACTACTTTGCTCAGTTTCGTACCTACTCGTCAATCTGTATCGGTAAGGGTTTTTGCAACAATGGGTGAGATCACCATTAAGCTGAGAGAAGAAGACAAGAAAAGCATTATCCATTCACTTTTACTCTCTTCTGTTTACGTGTGGAACACAAAGTCATGAAACAACCCGATGAACTCTGATAGAAGAGTATTTCAGAGTAATCCGTTGTTCCTTCTACACAACAACTAATATTGAAACACCTTGTCAACGCTATCAGCAGCCAGCTTTGCCAATTTACGACATGTCAGTTACTACACTTGCTTACACACAACGTTGATGGCTGAAGGCTTAACTGTGGATTATTGTCTCGAGCTGGTTAATTGCAAACGCTTGTATGTGGATGACATTATGAAGGTATTCAGCACGCAGCTAAAGTTCAGTTTGAGTCGAAGTAAATACAATTGGCACAGAGACGTATGAATAGGGACCGCAATTATAGACTGAGTTATTTCAGCAAGAACCCAATAAATTTGGTCTTCGGTCGACTAGGCTAGTCAATTGTGGGATTCCAATTCCAGTAATATAACTTTGAATGGCGACTGGTCGGTATCGGGCATTATTCAGACGGCTGTTATGCTTTCAGCCGTAATCGGTTTAGCTCGACTGCAGAATCTATTGTCTTTCTGTTTAATGCCATTTACTTGTCCAACACAATACGTCTTTAAATCTAAACAGTTCAATGATATAGACTGTTTTATATTTTATCTTATAGAGAAGTAGGCTGCCGTCATTACGTTAGATCATCATAGATTACGTACGCTGGAGATGTGGCATTATAATGCGCTGCAATTCAGATTCCTACCTTTTTGTCTGTAAATACTTCACAAAAAACTTTAATGAAGATAGGTTATAAATAAGTTAGACTTGTGGCCAGTCCTTCACCGTTTCGCAAGCCATGATTGACGGACTTAACATGACACATATTTGTAAAAGCAGATATATTTTCATGAGTACCAATGAATCCTTACAGGGCATCGTAAATCTTCATGACAATGGCATAGGAATTATGTACAAGAAAATTTAGATGCCACGCAGAAAGTGATGGATGATATCCAATAGGAAGGTGTTAGCTATGTTACATATACAGTAGTGGGTTAAGCGCATATGTATATTACCCTATACATTATCGAGTTTTGCCTAGAACATATTTATTCAAATTGCCAGTCATGCCTTGTTGAACATTAGCTAGTTCTTGTGGAAAGTTTCCTTTGAACCCTACACATGTTTGAGATCGGAACAGGGCCGAAACCCGTCTGGCCTGCTAACGACCTTAGGTCGTTAACATCCAGCGTCAGGACGCCGCTCCTCTAGGGTTTATTGAGGATTACGCCTGAGGGATGTCGATGCAAATTTACTACCCAAAGCTCCATTTCATGCGAAAATAATATGTGGAAAGCAAAATAATGAAATGGCAGGTCGGGTCGACCCATAAACTTTGTTATTCTGATTTTATCAAAAATATCAGAGCAGGTATCTTTTACGTTATTACAAAGCAAGGGTTTTCCACGCCATTTGTGGAGATTCATTTTTATAAAAGAGACGGATTTATTCCATTTTAATTCTTAGGCCTAACAATATTCTTCCGAGCTCTTATTCTAATATCATAATTTTGCAGCAAAACATAGAAAAATAATAAGAAAGAAAATTTTAGAGGGTGCCTGCTTGACGAAGTAATATAATCTAATTTCTGTCGGAAAATGAAAATTAAAGAATCCATTAGTCACGGGGACTCTTCCACCGTCGTCACGCACGAGGGGGTTGAAGAATCAAAACGTAATTTGGTAAAATGCTCTAAGTGGCCTTGTCGCCGTCTATTTCTCAACTCTAACGGATATTTACCTGTGCCCAAGAAGGGTAGCCGTGCCGACCCTAGCAACTATCGACCGATCGCCATCACTTCCGTACTCTGTAAGGTTATGGAAAGAGTTCTGAACTGCAAACTGCTTTCGTACCTCGAAGACAATGATCTTCCAGTGATTGTCAATATGGCTTCCGCCGAGGGCGTTCCATGAGATCTTCTAGTGTACGTAACGCATTGTTGGGGCGAGGCCATTGAAAACCACGGCGAAGCAATAGCAGTGTCGCTGGACATTTCAAAGGCCTTCGATAGGTGTGGCATGCGAGTCTGTTGAGCAAGCTTCCAGCGTACGGCATACCCACTGGCTTCTGTAGCTGGGGCAGACTTCTGAGTGAACGGTCGATCCGAGGTCATGGACGGCTGCTCCTCTGACCTCGCTATTGACGCCGGAGTTCCTCAGGGTCTGTACTCGCGACGCTTCCTGCTGCACATCAATGACCTTCTTTCTTCAGGAATTGTTGGTACGATGACAGTACTGTCACCGAGAAATATCTGTCCGGCGCAGGAGCCAGTGGTGATGAAATCAAAGACGAGAAAGGCTTTGATTGATCGTACGAGCCTGACGTTAAGTAACGTCTCCCAGTGGGGCGAAGACAATCTCGTCAGCTTCAATGCTTCAAAAACGCAGGCGTGTCTTTTCTCCGCAAAAAGAAGTCCTTTCACCTTTCCTACTTTTCGGGGTACATCTGTTCCAGTGACCAACACTCTTCAACTCCTTGGCATGAGTTGTCCTCTGACCTCAACCCGCACCACCATCGAGTCCAAGGCTCAAATTGCAGCTAGAAAGTTGGGCGTCCTGAATAAAGTCAGGTACTTCACGCCTGAACAGCTTCTAACTCTTATAAAGCTCAAGTCCGATCTTGCATGAGTACTGCTGTCACCTTTGGGACGGCTAAATACCAACTTGCACTGGATTCGGTGGAACGCAGAGCCAAGAGATTAATAGGCGATAAAACTGGTGGCGACCGCTTCACAGCCTGGCTCACCGCCGCAAGGTTGCTTGCCTATCGGTCTCTACAGATTGTACTTCGGAGAGTGCGCGTGAGCTGCATGAGCCATACCACCGTCTCCTTTCTTCATCGGACATCCAGACGCACGGCCGGCTACTATCCGTTCTAGTTGATACCCACATTACGCACTGCGCTTCAATCATCTTTCATTATGCGCACGGCTAAAGAATGGAATTCCTGCCTGCGTCTGTATTTAAGTGCATATAACCTGAATCTCTTTAAGTCTAGAGGAATAGGCATCTTCTGGCAAGCTCGCTCCACCGTAGATCCCATCTCTGCTCTAGGTAAGATTTGTAAGATCAAAAAAAAAAAAAAAAAAAAAATATAATGGAATTTGGGAAGATGCTGACGATTTCAATTTGTCAACTAATAGAAATTAGTGATAAAAACGAAAGGATTCCGTTTAATAATAAATTTAAGACCAAATTCTTAAGCATTAGCAATTGAGATGACCTCCTGTGGTGTCCTTTATATAGGAACCCAGGATGCAATCTAAAACATTGAACAAAAAAAACTAAAATATATTTAAAACTTGATGGAGGCAAAAAATTATATAGGAAAGTAAATTGTACAGCATCGTCCGATTAAAGACAGACAGTTATAATATCCAGCGATTTGCATGAAATAAATTATCGTCCCTAAGATAAACGTAAACAAGAAAGTCATAGATTAGCATTGTTAAATAGAAAGTCCGAACGAAAATTTAAATACAACGCCGGCGTAATCTTGCCTTGGAGCTGGCGAGATTTCTATAAATAATCCTAATCCATTTATGGGATAAGGA